TTATATTATAATATACTTTTATTATACAACGTCGTACTGTCGGATTGTCTTCCGGTGGCGTAACCTTGGGATAAAATATTTTGGTTTGTCATTCCCGACACGTTCACACGTTCGCACCACCTCACTGTATCTCTCTTCCTTTTCACCCGGACCAATTTTATTACGTTATACGGCGACGACGCTGTTGTACAATGCAATCCCATTTAGAACAGCAATCTGATTAAAATTCTGGCAACAATAAGAAATCGGTAGCGTACATACTATTGCTATGTAGCTACACTGTTTCTGCTGCTGATATTCAACATTTATACCCGAATCGTCAGAGCCAGTTAGTGAATAGTAATTATTATGAAAACTATTAAAAATTACAATTTTACCTTTGCTGTATGTATGACATGTATTTAAATCGTACACAATTGGCAGTTACTCTCCTAGTACCAGTGAGTGGTTTTCGAGTGAGTTATATAGTTTTTATTGAGTTTAAATAATAACTGTTAAATGTCTACGTACGAGTAACGCATTGCAGTAACGCAGGCAAATAAAATTCCGTATAAAATGTATAATGTTGTACAGACGGTTACAACAGTCTACTGTACTTAATATGCTAATTCAATGACTAGGAAGAGTCCAGCTGGTCGAATCGATCGTCTAATTTTATATTTATGTTGTACTGCTCATAGAATAACTGTGTTTTAACATTATGTGTATTTTATTAATCAATATTGTATTTACCAATAACAATGGTCTTTTTTAATAGTAAAACAATAAATAATAAGAGAGCACCAAATATGTTATGCTTTTCTGTATGCATATTATGGTCTAAATCAACTCTTGTAAATAAAAGGAATAAAAAATGAATGCTGTAATACGAGAATTTAAATTTTCAGTTGATATTATTGTTGTTTTACGTCATGAAATTTCATGCATGAACCACACAAAGAAACATTATGGTCTGTAGCAAGGTAGGATTTAATTTTAACTGGTTCATAAAACACATCAATGCGTGTATGTAATTATAATTATGCGTAAATCGTTTCAATGATTCATCTGTTCAATAAATTACTTCATTTGGTAAAAAATTAATAAAAACTTTCAAAATATTATTATTATTAATATTATCTAATTATAGTATTACAGTCCATAATCCAATAATTGTTTAGAATCTGTTAGTTATAATCTGTAATTATACGATATCACTGTCACACATTTTTAAAAATCCACAACAGTAAAATGTGAGTTTGAATTTTATTATACAATTCCAACGCCCATAAAGGTAAAACAAAATATTTTAATTTTATAATGTCAGTAGTTTAATTTACAATTAAAAACGATCGATTATGACTTCGTCAAAGAATATTTAACCTAAATAGATCAACATCTACTGAGTAATAATTTATCTTGAAAACTTATTTTTTATGTAAGACAAGTAGGTCTATTATTTTTTTATTATGTGCCTACTTTTTTATCCATTATTTTTAGTTAATTGCTCAAACCTAAAAATTTAAATAATATTGTTGTAGGTGATATAAACTTGAAATATTTTTATTAATATATCATTTGATTTTACTAAATTTGAAAATCATTATTCAATACAGAAAATTAATTAATAAATTTATTGTTAAATTTGATTTGTGTAAGCAAATACTTTATAATTCCGGATACTTCATATTATTTTCAGTGTGAATGTTTAGAATTCACTTTAAAACTGAACCTAGAGAACTTCATGTTTCGCTGACTAATATCAATGTAAATTCAGTACCAAAATACAGTACTTATATTTAAATATTTTTTAAATTCTTCAATGTGTAGAAATATTGTACATACATACAACTTTGAATACTATAAATGTTCTTTTTCATATTTGCTGTTATGTAAATATCTTAATACATTAAATAGAAAATAATTATATATATAATGAGAATATTGGTAATTTGTCTAGGATTAATCAGGATATAATTAATATTTACGTGAAAATCCTATAATTTTGAGATTTGACCGAAAATATCTTCGTAATATTATGCAAAAAACATAAACTCCATTAGAGAAACCCGATTTAATATTAATTGATGTAAATTCGTTTACATATAAGTATAATATTATTCGAATGGTGGTTTATTTACGTCGGCAATCTTACGTAAAGATAAGTCGAGTAAAATCCTTAGACGGTCTAGCAATAAGTAATTTAAATTCTTGTAAGTTATTAAAAATCTATATGATGAAAATGTATTAAACAAATTAACTCGAATTAACCCCAGTTTACAAATATAATAATAAAAATAACCCAAGTACGGAAAAAATTACGTAGGTATGCCATTAAAAATTAAAACATGAACATCAATGTATGATCAAAGAAAAATTTCCATTATCACACGTATAGATCGAATGTGGTCAGTACCGTTGTTATTGAACTATAGAGATTATCCGACAATAACGGAATTTAATGTAAACTTAGGTTAGTCGTCGACATGCAATTTTCAGTTGCGCAACTGTTTAATCGCATTAATGACTTCCACAGCGTTAAATGTTGTTAAATTGTTGTAACTGAAAATTGCATGTCAGCAACTAGCCTTGATAAATACTAATAGTAATCATAAATTCATTTTTCTCTGTTTAGTTTAATTCGTAATTTTGATTTTTTTTTATTCATGGTTCTTGATTTTTTTTATTAGAAATTTTTTTCCGTGTTTGGGTTTTTATTGTTAAATAATTTTTCGAGTACTCTAAAATTTTCGAATTTTTACTAAAATTTTATCTCGAATCGACATCAAAATACGATATTCATTTAACTTTACTAATTAGTATTTAGAATCGACAGTAAAACTAATCAAAATATATTTTTCTTTTTACTTTTGTCTATGATAAAAACTAGGCGATTACATACAACATAATTGTTAAAGTGTATTAATGTTTTAATTTTGAATTTACATTCAAAATAAAATAAGGACTACTGAGTCATATTCAGGTTACGTATAAAATAATAAAATATTTATGATCGTTATAAGTTTAGAACAATATTTCTCTCTAAAAATCCCAAGCTTATGTACATCCGGTTTATCTTTCCCTGATGTTTATATTAATTAATTCAGTCGTCGTTTTGAACGTCAACTAAGGTAATTAATTTAATTTAGTCGTTCACACTAAAATGAATAAATACAGAAAAACGAACAGCATAAAAAAATAAAATAAAAAAGTACTTACAATGCCAAATACATAGTTACAAATGTACATTTATAGTGTTGAGACGTGAGTATTCAGGTCGTGGAGAAGTTGAAAAAATAGCACTACGTTATTCTCGACCACCCATTTTATTTTCCCTGTACCCTAAGTATTATATAATATTTTTTTTTTTTTTTAAGAAAACAAAATAAAATATAGTTTATTGTGTTTTCGAATGTGAGTCGTGTTAACATGTGATACTTATATCTCAAAATAATTTTTCAAGAACAAATTACAATGAAAATATTATAAATAATGTTTTTTTAAATGATCACGATAAATAAATAAATAGTATGGTAAAACGTTATTAAATTTGTAGCGGTCGATAAAGCTTCAACGGTGACGTCAATAAGCCGAGTTAGTAATGATTAATTAAAGATAATACAAAAATACGAACGATAAGACTCGTTTTATAACGTAACTATAACTTACACTCTCTTTTCAGTCACCCCCGCAAATCGCAACAGAAAAAAACGAGACGTTAAACGTTTCGTCTTGGCGTCTCACACATTTATATTTTTACTGTATCTGAATGTTTTTCTGGAATCATTCGCTAGACCGGGCACTAGCAGCTCGTGCGCGCGACCTGCAACTAGCTTATTATACGAATAACATATAATGATATTACAAGAAAAAAAAAAAATTAACTTTTAACAAATATATCGAGTAAATTTAATTACATTCGAATGTATTGAATTAATATTTAATTTAACCATTGGTATATGATAAAACCAAATTATTTATTTGTGCTCTTCTGTGGCTAGACGTGGATATCCTATGATGTTTCGCTACTGTAAATGTATCAGTCTTTCGTTGCATCAAACATTGCAGTTCGTATAATTTACAAAAAGTTTCAAAGCTCTGATATTGAACACAAAAAAAGAAGTTTTGGTTAGGTTGGGTTGAGTTAGACTAACAGCGAGAAAGATTTTATACACATGAAGACACATTTATGTTCTCTTGTCAACGAGATTTGCGGATATATGACCTTAGAATTCACAAAGTTTGTTGAACTTTGTGGCGGATTGAATTTCGACATAATTCCTTGTCGACATATCTTTCAGCAAACTACGTCAGTAGGTTGGCAGACGGAGTGGAAAATCTTCCTTTTCATTTTTTTTTTTTTAGAAATGTGTCGATGGAAATATTTTTTATTATACCCTTTGTATTGGAATCGATTGGTTATATGTGCCCATAGCTCACTGCATAAATCAATAATATTATCAAAATCGGTGATAGAGTTTCGGAAAGAATAACTATGGTTCGATTTCGGCAGTAATAACTAAAAATAGGCTCATTTGACGCTTTCAGTTTCATTGAAATTGTTAGAGTTTATAGACAAAATGCAAATGAAAAACAACGCCACACAATGTATGTACGGCGTACCGTGAAAAATGTTTTATTTGTGGAAGAAACTAAATATTTCTGTTGGTTTCGTGAAAATATTGTGATATATATATGTATTAAAGTCATATACTACATATATGTAAGCAGGTTCAAATGTTATTTAGTTTTAATACTTTCTTTTAGTTTTGTTTAACTAGAAACTCAAAAGCTAGTTGTGATTTTCACGATTTTTTATTTTATTGACAGAGATGATTTATTTCGAGGTAAATATTATTTGAGAACATCTAAATTACACTTGAGGTTTAACAGTACATACACAATAATAGAGTTCAATGGTTGATATTGGTTAGTTAATAACCATTAAACGAGATAATTCAATTTCGCGATGAGTTATAGTTGAACATTGGCATTTAGATACTCGTTTTTTTCTGTTGCAGATGAATGTGGAAGAATGACGGAAAAAATTCCATGGTGAACGATATGACGCAAATCACACTGTCGGTGGTTGAGGATTGGCTGGACAGCCATCCGGACTACTGTCAGGACTACTTTCTGCGAAAAATTGAACTAGATTTCATCAATAAATGGCTTGTGTCCCACGGGTTCCTCAACATAAACGATTACATATCGTCGGCCACGTCCCCGTCGTCGTCAGGCAACGTGAGCCCTGCCAATGGTTTGGTGGCTACGCCATCCACCGGTACAAGCCCGAACAACACACCGAGCATCCTAGTTAATGGAGGCAACAATTCGCTGTCCGTGTCACAGATGTACCGGTCCAACTCGAAGAGATGTCGGCGACACGATTTCGCCAGAGCCAAGACACGTAGCGTGTTGCGCACACAGGAGATTGGCAAGGACGTGCCTATTTGTTCTAGCAGAAGATCATCTCTAAAGGACATGAGAAAGTGAGTACGTGTGATACGGATATAATTTCGCGCAATCGTTATCATGCCGTACAAATATATAGAGTCGTTGCGAATCAAAAAACCAAAACGTTCTACTTGAGATTAAAAACACATTATATTACATTTAAACAAAATTGTTTTTTCTTTCTTTCGTACAACTAATAAGTTCACCGTCCGAAGCCATTGTTGTTTGTTGTTTGAGATTAGTATATTTTAATATGATAAAATATTTTAACTAAGAAACTCATGATTACTTGACCAATATCCTATAATATTATAATAGTTATGCGTAACATTTTAAACAGTTTATTATACGATTTGAAAGTTCAATATACTATTTGAAATATTACGTATTATGCTGAATAATTTTTAAAAATATTTCACTGTAATTTTTATAGTTGTGAATAGTTGCAAATAGTGTTCGATTGGTTAGATTTTAATAGTGTTATGACTACTTTTAAATGGAAATCTACTATGATTTAAAACCCATATCACGTGATGTAAAACTACAATATTGTAACGTATATAAAAAGTTAATAAAAATCATATTTTTACTATTACTGGAGTGTGTATCACCGAGAAATTAACAATTAAGATGAATAATTTATGTTACTTATAATAATTTTTATGGTTCTATAAAGTTTTGTTTTTTAAGTTTGAAACAACTTCCTTTTGTTTGTTTTTGGTTAATTGAATGTAATTAAAATTTTGAGTGGGAAACATAAATAATGTTCAATGTCCTAATCTTTCCACAATTAATCGTGTTAAAAGATCGCCGAATTAATTATATTCTCATCGCTATGCTGGATTCCGTGAACTTTAGTAATGCATGAGCTGTGATTTTACAATATTCTCTCATTTAATATAAATTCACGTATAATACTGTTTACGCCGTACCGTACTCGCGATTTAGCGAGGGGATGGCAACGACTCTTGTCGTAGTCCGAACCAGGTGAAGAATAAGGTTTATCAAAAGAATGACCAGATAGTGTATGAAAGGCGCAATTAATAATAACCACTTCAAATATAATAATTTATAAAAAATATATAATAACACTACAACGTATGTCTTAATGGGCACCATTACTAAGCGTGTACTAACATAAATAAAATAGTCTGTAATTTGTGAACTCGCACGATTATGTACAAAACTAATGAAATTATAAAAATAAATACAAATGTTTTAGTAAACAATTAAAAAATAAATTTTAATTTAGTAGTTTTTGGAAACTCGACCACAAACTGCATATACCTTATTTCTTAAAAAATTAAACAAAAACTATTCAGGCTTAAAAATAAAATTTAAATGGCTATCAATTGTAGTAAAAGTATAAATAATTTTGAACAAGTGAATTCTATTTTTTATTTCAACTTTTCATGTAGTAAAAACTTCTGAAAAAATTAATAAAATAACTTTTTCACTTCTAAATATAATTTTAAAAATTATTCATTGTTCTACAACTTTATTAAAACCATCGATATTGATTTATTCTCCAATAAAGTTTATAGAATAGTAATATATATATAACATTGAAGCACAATTAAAATATTCCACTCATTAATTTATTTTGCTTATATAATATTTCATTAAAATTTCATCGCGCAAATTTGATGTATTGGTATGAATAGGTTGAGAACGCTAAGAATAATTGATTACTATAGGCAATTCGTTTCATCAGCTATATTATTTAAAAATATTTCCATACTATTAAGACTCTGCTGATTATTATTATTATTATTATTATTATTATATTACTTCACTAAAATGTATTGAATTCATATTAAACACAATTGTTTTAAGTTTTTCTTATTTCTTGTATCTTAATTTTTGATGTACAACTATATATTTAACTGTTTCTCATATTGTTTTGTATGTTATAGAAATAGCATTAGTGACTGTTGTATCATATATTATAATAGGTACTTAATTTGTTATTTATTTTTTCGTGTGCAATACTATATTATTATCCTTTAAACACACTATTATAATCGTATTAAGTTTTACTTCTAAAAAGAAACAATTTTAAATTAAATTATTATACTCGTAATTTATACACAGGTTATATCATTTTTCTATAATAGGTATAAATCATCCTAATTATATTATGCCACTTTTATCTATATTTAAACATTTTAAGTTAATGTAGTATTCGATTAAAACTTAAAGACTAAAATAAACGGAGTTCTATGGGCCACAAAATGTTGAACGTAATATTTAGTAAAATAAAATGTTGGGTCAAATATATGAGTATATTATTTTGTATTTTTCGAATCTTCACGTTGGAGTGATGTTTTGGATCAGGTTTCTAACTTTTATAATAATGCACACGTGTCCACTGTTATTGTCACACAGTCCACCACACAGCATCACTCAATTTAGTACTTGTGTTTCGCATTAGGATAACGTGACAAAGTAAATAAAGTGCCGCAGAAATCGCGAATCACTTATTATATCTGTTTATATAAAGTAAAAATATATCCGATCTCAAATAATAAATTAAGTAGCAATTCAATTCTTGACCACACGTTATGCCTTATTGGTGAAAAGTTGACAGTAGGAGCACAAATCAAACACGAGTTTTAGTTAGTGTCTGGTTGCAGAATGACATAACGAAGACTAACGTGAGCATGAATTTTTTTATAGATCCTATTTTCATTTTGTACTTTCGAGTTTAGTATATTCGATTAAAACATGGCCGTGATACTCCAAAACTTTAAGAGTAAAAATACATTTTAATTAAGAAAAAAATTATTTAATTTAAATTAATAGTGCAGAATTTTTTCTAAAGGAAAAAATACTATCTGTAATGTAGTATTTTTATTTTTTCACTAACAAATATATATTCAAAGTTATTTACATGTCGAAATTCGTGGTATTTTTATATTTTCGTTGAACTATACAAAACTATTGAAAAAGCAATATTAAAAAAACTACATAATAGATAATGATTTCTTCTTGAACACAAAAAAGTAGCCTTAGCTGTAAACTTACACTGAATGGTTGTGTTCTGCTCAATATGGGTTATCCACCTATGAATCGTATATAAATGATAATTTTACTTATTGATCCCTGCATATGATTACGATTACACATAACGTACTCGCATATAAGCAACTATGTACACACACACGCGTGCGCATACAATCTGTAAATATGTGATATTAACGATTCTTCGTATTATGTGTTATACATGTATATACTCTGCGTATACATCAACGAAACATTTTAATAAAATGTAATACAGTTATATAAAATACAAGCAATAATTTGCTTCAGTCAAAAGTAACGTGTTTCTAAATAAATTAAATTAATGTTTCCGATAAACGCGTCTTGTTCTGTTTGCGCGAGCATTAGCTATCATATTTTATTTTGTTATACATAGAAATATAAGTATTTGAACTAAAATCAAATTCAACATATTCACACGAACAACGATGTACACCAAACATACGTGTTGTAATTTACGAACACTTGAAATTCGTGTTAACTTTTAAAATAAAGAAGAGTAAAAATAATATTTTTCAAATACATTTATAACACGGCGCTGCGTATAGGCAATCACGGTACATTGATGTCTAGGGTCCCGTAAATCGAAAAGTATTTTTTCATTTTGCTTTTACCCAAGGCACCATCTGTGCTTCAATCAATCATGTGGCGTTACGTTCAGGCTTCAAACTGTTCATCACGTTTTGACGTACAAAGATGATATTTTGATTACAGCAAGCATTATCAGTACTCAAGGTGATACGGAATATCTGTGCGAAGTGATCAGTTTAGATAGGTATGACAATGAAATGCTTGATGGGAAACGACCCATGTTGGCTATACATAAATGAATGATCAGAAAAAATGGGTATTTCAGCAGCGTTACAGTTCTCTTTTGTACTTCAAAAAATAAATTGGGAAATTTTTTAACGAAAAAACTTACGTTGAACCGTGGTATTTATATTAACTGTGACGGCAGAATCATCGGCCAAACTTTAAATCTACTACTTATTAGCATTCAATTGAGAATTAAACGTAAACTAACGTTACAAATTATGTTACCGTGGGTACACAATTTTCATTCGTTCATTTTGTCTAATATATGATAGTTTATAAAAATGATAAACAGAAAACAAAATTAATGTTTGAATTAAATGGAAATATCCTTTTACGTATGTACGTATGATTAAACTTTTCCAAAAAAAAAAAAAAAAAAAATGCTGAAATGTACTATAACCACTGTGAAATTAAATTAAAAATAAATTATAAAGAAAAATCATGTATAATTTAAAACGAATTATATATTATATGATATTGCATGCGATTTAAAATTGTAAAATTGTTTTTATAAAATGTCTTACATTAGAAGCACAACCTAGTAGTAATACTAATACATGGTACCTGACTTTAATTATTTAATTACAATTTTTTTCACCTATACTATTTTTTCAGATAATTTTTTAACAATTTAACCGACCGAGTATTTGAATTTACTATTTAAAATAAATAATTTTATTTGATTATTATAGTTCTGATTTATACAATTATCTAGAAATAGAAGTAATGAAAAAATTTGTATAATGACGATGGTTAAGTGCCATGACATAAAATTTGGATCGAGTTACAATAAAAAAATAAAACCAAAAAAATAGCCAAAATATCATAAAATTCTTAATATTAAGAAATAAATACATTTTAGAATGCGTTGTTTTTATAAACGCTACGGAGAACAGTATTACTATTCAATAATTTAGACTTTGATTAGTTAATATAGTAAGTAACAAATTTAAAACACAACCCGCGTTTATTATATCATTTTTTAGTCAGAGCGTTCTAGTAGCGTGATTAGAATTTTAAATGAGAGGGGCTAATTCGATATGAGATAATTTGAGAATTCACCATTCACCCCTAAGTTTATAAATATATTTTCACCATTTTAAAATAGCTTTAACAATGTTTATTAAATTATGATTTATAATAATAATAAGTTAACGTTAGTTAGTTGCAGTAGTAT